GGATTGTCAAGAACAGCTGGGGAGAGGACTGGGGAGAAGAGGGTTATTTCAGAATCCTCCGAGGAGTGGACGAGGTTGGGATCGAGAGTATGGCCCTGGCTACAACTCCTCTGGTCCCCTACACCTTTTGTCGCTCACATTGAATTATGTATACACAATATTATATTGTCTTGACTTCATACATGAATACCGAACTCTGTAGTTATGTGTTTACATGTACACCTTGCCATGTTCTAGCTCCCAACCCTTTCAGTTGATGCTCTTTGTTTTACCATCATGTAACTAAAAACTTTCATGGTGAAAGAACTTGGTGAATTTCACAACTTTATGCATCTCTCTTTGTGCCAAGTAAGTAGTAGGCAAGTTCTCCTGTGAGCGCATCATGCGCAAAGACGCGCGCACGATAGTAACTGCGCATGCGCGTCGTCGACATCGGGGGCATGCGCGTTCAGCTCCAATCTCGTTTTTAGTTACGCGTTTGCCTTGGACTTGCTACTATCGTAGCTAGTAGTATTGTATCATAACAGATTCGTTTTTTGGGCAGAAATGATGAAAATTTGGCTTCTGCTAGCACTGGGAGTTTTTACTTCAAGGTAACAGCTTTTTTGCGCTAAATCAGTCATAATACACTGCATGTAACCATGTAGGGTTGAGGGAGTGAGAGAACAGTATAATGGTTGGAGGGTTGGCTGCAAAACTTTTCCCAGACACATTTTTCCTGCCAGTCTTCAGCTTTCGCACTATATAGGATATTTTGCCTCGGTATGAAATACGAATTCCTGGGTCTGTCCTCTAGCTCAACTGACTTCCATGGCAGCCCTTGCAGCATTTTCATGATACCACCTGTCCTAAACTGGAAGTTTAAGCCTATCTAAACGCCATTTATTATTGTTGGGTCGTTCAAACTTTTCTCCAGGTTTTATACCGCAAAGACTTCCTACCTTGACGTACCACGTATCCACTTCAGAGGCAAATACAGGGCCGATGTAAACACTCGAAATAATTGCCAGTGTAATTTTGACCCTCGTAAGGAATTAAATGAGGACAAAGAATGGAACTACAAAGGAACTTCTGAGTGGGAGTTTATTGACACTTACATAACATCTGTGGTAGATAAAGAGGGAAAGGAGGTCTCTAAAAGTCCTCTGTTGGGTGTGGAAATTTTCAGCAGTGACGAAGGTCCGTTGGCCAAGCTGGTGGACCTTGATGTGGATTTTCAGGTGACTACGCTCTATGGTGTTAAGTTTTGCATGAGAGTTGGCGGAGAGACCGTTCTCAAAGGAGACTGGACTCCAGCTATTATAGCCCGTGACGTGTGGAACCGGCTGAAATGCGGAAAGCCTAATCACCCGGATGCTGTATATGGTGCCATTAGCACCAGCACCATCACAAATATAGAGTGCCCTTCTATAATACATAACCATCTTAATCTTTGCAAGGAGTTGAAGATGAAAGTACTGTCAGTTTCCATATCACCCAATTACTTTTCTGGCGATGTTTTCACTATTGGTAATGTAGTTGGTACCATTGGTATTGCGGAGGAAGGAGAGCCCGTGAATGTAGGCGGGGATAGGAAGCTTGTGGCGAGTGGTCAACCACTTCAAGTGTGTCCTGACGCTGACCCTGTAGAGGATGGAGTGAACGTCGCACCTTTTATCTATGACGCAGATCGAAATAAATTAGTGGTGGATATTAGTAATGCTTTTCCGGCCGATGCTCAAAATCATAGGATTGACTTGGGAACACTTTGGCTAGGTGTGCTGGACGACGATGGAGCTTTGACCACGTTTGGCGAGCCTCTCCCATACCTGGAGCCTTTCATTTGGGATCATGGAGGCATTGTTGAGTATAAGGTCCCCAAAGAGTTAAAGAAAACAGTCATAAGCTCGCCAGTGGTGATAGTGAAGGAAATAGACAGTGATTCATGTGATCACCATGTATATCAACACAAAGAGTGTTTTACCTCACTGTCTGATAGCAAGGTGATGGTGCTCCTGCAAGAGTCTGAATACTTTGTTCGTCCCACTGGGTACTACCACGGGAGACTAGAGTACGGAAATGATGATTACGACTCGAGCCAAATTACACTCCTTTTGACATCATTTGGCAAGCCTGTGAAAGACACTGTTGTGAGAGTAGAACCACATACCTCTATTCCAGCTAATGGGGTTGTTGCATTAGAGAATGGCAAACAAACTAATGATGAAGGACTAGTTACTTATACGTTCAAAGCGAGCCAAGCTATTCCCTTTCCGCGTATGTACAAACAGAACCCGTGTAACTCTATAGATTGTCCCGATAGACCAATTCACAGAATGAACGCCACGGATCAAACTGACGCCATTTATCAGCTGCCCATAGATGGACAAGTATACCACTTTTGCTATTTTGTTGACATTGAAGGCCAACCAACACCTAGCTGTGACGAAATTTTGACAAAAGTAGCTTTTTTCTCTCAGGTGATCAGTTTTCTATCGTTCTCCACAATGTTTTACGAGCGGCCGTACACATGGGTCGAACACGTGGCTCCAATCTTCGAGCAGGTCCATCGTTTGTACTATGTCATGAGAGCTGTCTTGGACCTGAGCTCTTACAAAGACGTTACACAACCTTACAACAAGATACTTTTAAAGAAGGCACTAAGTAAAGACATCAACGATGCCGGATACATGCCTGTAACGAGAGACCTATCTCCCACGAAAAAGTACATGGTACTGGAATGGCTTGAGAGACCCTGTTTTTCCAAACTTGATTGCGTTTCTCTATTTGATAAGTGTCAAAAGCCACATACGGGGTCTCGATTAATGGGAGAAGACCAGTATGAAAGGTGTGGCCTTGCCAAAATCCCGAGTAAAAGCCACCCACAAATGTATTTCAGCCACATATACAATGACGAAGAATGCCCTACTTTCAAACTTCGCGCCGAGCGTCCACTGCGCCCACTGTTTGGATACGCTAGCGAGGAGGAAATAAAGAAGCAACATCCTCTCATAGCGATGTGCAGTTCGTCTCGGTGTGCAATGTGGAAAATCTAAGAAATCAGCTCCAACTTGCAATACAGATAGAGTTCAGCGCAGTGCCACTCTATTTGACTTCCCTCTACACCATAATGGACAATTGCAACGTGGAAGCCTACAAACTCGTGAGGAACATTGTCGTGCAAGAAATGCTGCACTTTGCCCAGGCAGCAAACATCCTGATATCCATAGGAGGGAAGGTAAGAATCGACAGCAAAGACACTGTCCCCCATTTTCCTACAACACGCCTTCCCGGAGGGGTTCTTCCGAAACTAACACTAACTCTCGAAAAGTTTACAATGAAACATGTCTACGAGAACTTCATGGCTCTCGAGGTACCCGCATACTCAACTGTCCCTAAACCCCACGCACATTGGAATACAATTGGACAATTCTACGAAGAAATTCAAAAGTGCATGGAGACGCTGGGAGACGAAAATATTCAAGAAACCAAACGAAGATAGCCAAGTAGAATGGCCGTGGGAGACACCAAGTGATGTCGGTACATTGTACAAGGTGACAGATATGGAGTCTGCGCTACTTGCAATCGGTGAAATTGTAGAACAAGGCGAAGGTGCTCACATGGAAAGTCCCGTTGACGAATCGACCAAGCAGTACGCCCACTTTTTCCGTTTCGAGGAAATTTTCTGTGAAAACAAACTGGAAAGGTTGCCCGACGGAGAGGGGTACGCGTATACAGGAGACCCAATACCTTACAACCCAAACGGGGTGTGGAACATGAAGGACAATCTCGCAATATCTGACATTGAGAAAGGCACCGTGTGTCACACGCAAGCAAGAGCATTCCACAACGTCTATAAAACGTTACTGTGCGTTTTGCAAGACACGTTTGACGGGCATCCGGAGAAAATGGACGAGGCTATGAAACTAATGGAGGTGTTGAAGGTTCACGCAAAAAGGGCAATCTGGACTCCGCTGAACTCCCTCACTTCTAGACCTCCAGAAGACGGGGAAGTGATGTGTGGCCCAATCTGGGATTACGAGTGGGAGGAATGAACCGTTTGACCTAATATTTACTGTGTATTAGTTGAGTATATATACCACAGCTTCATTGACCGAACTGATTTTTGTGTACATTATTATACGTTATATAGGGCATCATAATGCTTTAGGATTACATTCTTGGTCTATTATATATACTATAATACCAGATTTATGGGCAAACAGATTGTGTGTACGTCATCTTTAAAAGAGGTGAGCTACCACAGCGATGATGTATTGTACAAATGGGCAACAGTTTATACATGAGTAGGGGAGTCATGGTACAAATGGAGTGGCAGCCGACTGCCATACTCTCAATGGACACCTCGTCCACCTCTCGGATGATTCTGAAATAACCATATTCTCCCCAGTCCTCTCCCCAGCTGTTTTTGACTGGATTGTCAAGAACAGCTGGGGAGAGGACTGGGGAGAAGATGGTTATTTCAGAATCATCCGAGGAGTGGATGAGGTGTCCATTGAGAGTATGGCAGTCGCTGCCACTCCACTCGTACCATGACTCCCGTACTCATGTAAAACTGTGGATATATATCCATTTGTACAACACCAACAACTCCCTGCAGGTGGTCCTCTCCCCACAGGACGTCGTCGGCTGCTCCGAGTACTCCCAGGGCTGCGAGGGGGGATTCCCCTACCTCATCGCCGGCAAGTACGCCCAGGACTTTGGAGCCGTGGAAGAGTCTTGTTTCCCTTACCTTGGAGTCGATTCGGCTTGCAACGAGAAAAAGGATTGTATGCGCTATTATGCCACCAATTACTACTATGTTGGTGGTTACTACGGGGCTTGTAGTGAGCCACTTATGCGACTGGAGCTTGTAAACAACGGACCTGTTGCAGTTGGCTTTGAGGTATTGAACGACTTCTTGAACTACAAGGGTGGAATCTATAGGCACACCGGGCTTACCGACAAGTTCAACCCCTGGGAGATTACCAATCATGCCGTCCTGGTGGTGGGGTATGGAAGTGAGGGAGGGGTTCC